ATTCAAAAACAAATAAACCTATAAACAAATATCAGTGTCTATAATTTATATTAATTAACAAACTTTAGCAAATGTTTATATAATTATTATAATTATTATAATCAATATTCTTTAATCAAAAATGCATAAATATGTACTTAACCGTAATTCGTTTTGGTAACGAAAATTATATAAATAATGTAGGTATTTTTAATTTACCTAATTAGTCGACTTGCAAAATAATATTCATTTTTATAGGTAAAATGAAATTATAATATGATCGAAGTAAAACTCTAATATAACAGGTATAAATAATAGTTATAATAATAAACCAAAGTAGATTTGAATTTCAAAAGTTAATTAGGTGCCTACCATAGATATATAATTGTAATATATAACAACGGTCAATCTCATTTCGGCGCACTAGTGTCTACTAGGTACTACTGTGATTTATGTTACCTAGTTAATACTATATTTTAATAAAAAACATAATTCTATCAGAGGCTTAATTTGGTGGAGCAGGGTGGACATTTGCCTTGTCATTAGCGGACCGCTGTCAGGCCGGGTATGGACTAGTTTTGGGCTTTCATATAATATAGTACCTAATAGGTAATATAATTAAGTATCCCTCTACATATGTATTAATTTTTTAGTTATTGTTATCTCTCAAAAAAATGGGTTACTTATGCTTATGATACTGACTATTAACTAGTAAGTATAAAATTATGTAAGAAAGCTATTTGTATTGAGATAAAAATGCACATTGTGGTTTTTTCAGTTTTATTTTTGGCTGGTCCAAAATGCTGCCCCTCCCCCTCTCTAAAACTGAAATGACGCCACTGAATTAATTGCGTGTCATCTGGATTATCATAGTTTAGTTATGTACCTAAACTGACTTATTTACCATAGGCGTGCGAATGGGTGTAGCAGAAGGTTCAGGCATTGCAGAAGATATCTGCAAAATGTTTTGGGTCGATATTGACTGTGGGCTGTGGTGATGCGAGTTATAACCACTTGGTCACAGCCGGCAGCCTATTTTTTAATATATTTAAGTAGATCAAATAGATCTGAACCAATTTTACCTATACATTACAACATATAGATATCCAGTCAAAATTACAAAACTCGATGTTCGGTCTACAAAGTACAAACGAAAATTGTACAAATACAACCCACATCTGGCGTCGTATAGTAAAAACCACAAATTAAGGTAAGTACCAATCTTAATTCGAGGTAAAACCTTAAAACGATATAATATATAATTTATAAATGATTATTTTTACACTGTACTCTGTAGACAAATCATACCTAAGTCCTTCACTCTTTCATACAACATACTACATCATTCATAAAATTTAATATTAAAATATTCATTTGAAGCGCATAAATTATAATCAATAAATAATATCATAATTTTTTCCTAATCGTAGATAATACCTTTTAACATATTTATTATTATGATATTATTCATTTAGTAGGTAATAATAATTAATAATGCCACACTTTGGTTGTTCAAAATGTATTCGGCCTCTTGTAAAAAAAAAAATAGCCACTTTATTTTGTATGATACATCTGTCATCTGTGATTAAAGTCTGCTCACCTCTATATTACCTACTAAGTTAAAGGCTTCACTAGTCACTCGTAGACCAGCACTGTGAATTCAAATGAGATCCAGGATAAAGCTAGGCTCTGGTGGCAGTATAAACGAGGAGCGTATTTATGAGGGAGGATATGAGGACAAATCCGCCCCCACGGCTCTTTAAATACATGCATTGTAATTATTATACCGTAATCTGTAAGCTAAAATTCATTTCACCCCCCCCCCTTACAAAAAATTCTAAATACACCACTGGTATAAACTTATCTATACATGCCTACATAATATAATATTAGGGAGAACCATCTTTTTAAACAACCGTCGTCGTTTAGTATTTACACAGCTGAAACTCATGCTATTTACCAAGCACTATTAATCATATCAACTTCAAACTCAACAAACTGTCACATCATTATCAGTGACTCTCTGAGTGCCCTTACTGCAATTTCTAACCCCTACCCTAAAAATGAACTTATTCAACACATACAGAAATTAATATCTGAAATAAACACCCCCACATGTTTCATGTGGGTTCCCTCACACATTGGGATACCCGGGAACGAAAAAGCAGACACATCAGCCTATGAAGCCATTTCATCTCCACAGTCCATTAAAATCAGCTCTACTTCCTCATTTGAAATCTTCAGCACAATTCATCAAAAAATAATGGAAGAATGGCAACTTTTTTGGGAAAATATTCCCCTTACCAACAAACTGAGAAATACAAAATTACTCGTCAAGAAACTAAACTACCTTCCCGGCACAAAAAGAAAAGACGAAGTAACAGTCACTCGAGCCAAAATAGGCCATTCTTACTTAACACATTTACATCTCATCAAAAAAGAACTAGCACCCATATGTGATACTTGCAACGTGACTCTATCAATTGAACATATCGTAATCACCTGCCCCAAGTACACTGAAGAACGCAAGATACTCCAAAATCCAACATCACTCTATCAAGCCTTCAAAGATGAAAACACAGCTGCAATCAGTACATTTTTCCATAATATAAACACTAAACACCCACTGTATAAATAGTAACTATAATAATGTAGTAAAATTTATTGTAAAACTTAATGTATACATGTATATATTCTTCTTTCTTTCTTGTATACATTTTAATTAAAGTAGGCTAAAAACCTGTGTTGTTGAAGCCTTAATAAACTATAAAAAAAAAAAATATATAATATTATAATAATTATTGCAACATAATATTTGCTACGGCTTAACTACTGAACCAATTTTGATGAAATTTGGTATGGAGATGACTTACCCTGAAAAAAGACATGGTCTACTGTCTACTTTGTTTTTATCAAGCTCTAAGCTCTGAGGGCTGAAACTAAATAATTACTCTCTGATGATTAAAAAAAAGTCAAAAAATCAAAAAAGGCATAATTTAAGAAAACCAAAGCCCAAAGGGTTATTGACATAGCTTGAAAAGGATATAATATTTGTATACTCAAATTTACTTAAAACTTGATATTAAATATTAATATTCTTCAACACAATTAATGAAAGACGCTTAACTTAAACCAGTTACCAGTCATTTACTAATCATAACAAAACTATAAACAGTTATTATACGAGCGACGCCGTGAGAAATAGGTTTTTTGTTTTATGTATTTGTTCATTGAAACGACATCAAGGTCTTTGTCAATGCTTATCACAAGAGGATAGTATCACAAGTGGGAGATCGTGAGAAATAGGTGGCTAGAATTATAGTAGTATACTAGTATACTAGTATACTATAATATTATATAGGTATCTATATCTATACTAATATATAAAGCTGTAGTGTTTGTGTGTTTGAACGCTCTAATCTCAGGAACTACTGGTTCGGATTGAAAAATTATTTTTTTGTTGGATAGTCCATTCATCGAGGAAGGCTATAAGCTATATAACATCATGCTACGACCAATCAGTGGCGTAGCCAGGATTATGAAATGGGGGGTGTTTAAGTATAGATTAAAACCAAGTTTTTACAGTTTTCGTATATAAATAAATTTAGGGTTCGGGACTTGACTTGTTGCACTAAATATTATCGAAATATGATGCAGTCAAAGTTGTCAAAATATTCTTAAATATATACTACATATTCTTTAATATAAACATACTACCATTTTGGTAATAAAAAACTAAAAAATAAGTAGGTACCTATATAAATAATTAATACACGGGCTTACTAATTTTAATATAGGTAGGTACCTACTACCTACCTATATTGATTAATGTGATGGACGGAGTACACTATTGCATGTTTTGTACATTTTTAAACTATTGTGAAATAAATCAACTTGATTTTTAAAAATACTGGAATAAAATACTAGGTTAATAAATATGTAATAAAAAATAACGTGATATGCGAACACCGTAATAAACGAACACGTATATCTACTGATTTTCATTTCTTCGTACAATCTAGAATGTAGATGTCAATTATAGTTTTAACACAGTCTTGTTATAAAGAGACTTATAAAATCTTACATAGGTACCATAAGTATACGAAAATATAGCAAACCGTATAGCCAAGCTCCACCAACAACTTTAACAGCCCTCCCAATCATTTACTAAATTTTTTTAATTCAATTTTATAATAGTATGGTTTTAGGCTTCGGCCTCCCAAAATATCAAAATTAGAGCCTATTGTACCTCACCAAACATAAAGATATTTTTCAATGTTATCCAAATATGATTTTTCCCGACAATTGTATGTATCTGCATTTAAGTTAGAAAAATGCAAAATATGAATAAATATGCGAAAAATCGCTCAAATGAACACTTTTAGTAAAATATGAAAATTCAAACTTTGTTTGATTAGACATTTAAAAAATTTCATAAGACAAATTTATAACTTATCTAAAATAATGCGAGGAGTCCCAAACCCTATAAACAATATTTTTATTAGGGAGGAAAATGTCAATGGGGGGTGTTTAAACACCCAAAACCCCCCCCTGGCTACGCCACTGCGACCAATTAATAGTCAAACAGGGATTTTGAGATTTACTATGGAAATATTTGTTTATAAATGGTTGCTATTGGTTATAGGAGAAATAGTTAATAGAAATAGTATTTATTTATTATTTGTTGCTATTGGTTAATCGAACAAATCAGGTACAAGCATGCATCAAATCGATATTTCACACATTTCCTACCAGCTAGTGTGGCTGATTTGCACTTACTGCAGTGTGTTACACCAAAAAGGAGTTGAACAATCACAATTTTTTTAAGAGTTGTCTTTTTTTATGGCCCACGAAGTGCTCAGGATCATCTAGTATATTATATATAAAAAAAGTGTTTAGTTTGCATAAAAAATATTATACCCATCTCTATGCCTCTATTGCTCCAATATAATTCCTTGTTTTTGCTACTATTCACGCGTGCAAGAGACAAAAATAACTAACGAAGGAGTATGGACAAAAATTTAATAAGTTACCTGTTCTTTGGTTTGATGCTTCAGACAATTCACTCTATTGCGTAGTATATGATAAAATGTAAAAACGCTCTAAACAAGTAAATAATCAAATTTAATATTAAGAATTAATATACCTATTTATTAAGATTCTGAACGAAGCCAACAATATACCTAACATGAATTATAATATATATATATATACATATATTTATTCATTTTATGTCTGTAATTATTATTTTGGATAGAAGTGATCATCACCTTATACTTTAATGCTCAGTGCTCACCCTATTATCGGTGTCAAATTTTCTCACGCTTTCATATAATGCATATTGCGCTAAGCACACACACGGCCAGAAAGCTCCAATTTCCAATCTACATTGTTAATCAAATTATACTTTGGTAATTCAAAAATATCAATTTTTAGAGTCTTGTCAGTCTTGATAACTAAAAAAGTCACTCTCGACAATTATTTATGGTAAAGATTTACAAATTTAAATTCAAAAAAATACTTGACTATAGTATTGGCCATTGGAAGTTCTGTATATTACAGGTATATAATAATAGGTAAATACTAAATATATAACTATTATGAACAATTCAAAGCATTTAATTTTTTTTTCCAGTCATTTTTCGTTCAGAACCATTGTAATATTGTATATACCATTATATTTATGTATATTAGGTATATAGTTAATAGTTATATAGATTAAAGTTCGATAATTCGAAGTTCAGGGGACCGAGTTAAAAAATCAATTTATAGAGGTTTTCGATTTACCGAGTGTTCAAATAATCAAAGGAAAACAAATTAATTCGAATTAAAGAGAGGTGAAAATTGTATGTGTATATTACATTTATTTTGACATTTTAGATTCTGAGCGGAGCAAGGAAGCTAGTGGTTTTACAATGGTGTTTATTTTTTTTTTTTTTTTATCCTGTATACAAAATGTCTACCAGAAGGAGTGCTTCGATTTCAACATATAGTACATTATCTTTTAGCAAATTGGATTAAGATAGTACTTTAAACAGGTAATTTTTCGATTTTATCAATAGTTATTTAATTCCAAGGGAAAAACCACCGAAAAATTACGAAAAACCGCTAAAAATGGGATTTTAATTTCTAACTCTTTGTTTATCACCATAGAAACGAATAAAAAATAATATTATAATATTAATTCAATTTACATGATATTATACTAATTAATATCTAACAATATAAAATATCCAGACTGACAAACCGTCTCCGCTCAGAATCTTTTTTCTTATACAATGATAGAATATCATTGAATTCAAGTTTAATACAATCCATTATACAATGACCCAATTGCAAGCTACGGTACAGCAGAGCGACATCCACTTACCTGCTTTTTTTTATTATACATTTCTATTAAATTTTAGATTAGGTAGGTAAGGTACGATAACATTTATAAACTACGATAATATTCAACCACCGTCGTTATTAGTTTCATTAAGCGAGTGCTTCAAATAGATTATACATAATCTTTATATGTACATACATATGAACTTACATATAATCGCGTTCAAGGAAATTCAAATTATAGAGGTTCGAGGACAAAAATTCGAATTGTAGAGTGTGTCCAGTGTCTCACCGATAGACATTTCGAATTATCGAGGGGGCCGGAATACATGTATTTTCTTCTAATTATAGAGGTTTTCTCAGGGGGCTCAGCGTTTAGTTCGATTTATGGAGTTTTTCGAATTATCGAGTAACTACAACTGTAATACTTCACATAATACATTACCTTGTTGTGTAAATAAGAACTTGACTCTATTAGGTAAATAAAAACCACAAATAATCTTGTCATACGTATTATTCTGATAATAACTTTCAGGTTTACAAAGTTGTAAGAAAAACTAAAACATAATTTACTATTAATATCAAACATTTGATTAATAATATATGGAGAGATAAGTTGTAAATTTTAACACATTGACGGCCACACCACGTTATCACAGTCATGTTTTTTAAGTCATAGAATACCATGAATGCCATACCATTGGCCAATTCAAAGTGACGCTAAATTTACAGAATTCATTGTGATGCTATAGCAGTCATGACCATCAATGTGGTAATAGTTATTTACTATATATATAGAAAATATTTACATAGGTATGTTTCCTTAACTCTCCCTCCCCACCACTTTTTTTCACAAATATTTAATATGGAATTTGTATGAATTTATTTGATGAAAATCAAAATATTATACTTAAATATTCGATCAAAATTCGTTTAACATTAATTTATTTTCTAATAGTGTGGGTAGGAATATAGTGACATACCAAAATTATTTCTCTAATTTTTCGGTCATTTGTGGATTTTGGCATTTATTAGATCCTGAAATCATATTTTTTCTTGGTTTAATAAAATATTTGATTGTTTTGGACAACGTGCAGTACCTAAGAGTTCAAAATTAACTTCTGGTAATTTTTTCTTTTTAATAAATGATAATACACATTTTTTATAGTTTGTTACTTTTAAAAGGTATATAAGGATTAGATTGATATCAAAATGACTTATTTTGTGTGTATCCCACTATCACTCTATTTTCATTCCTAGTATCCACCGGGATACGACATACATACCGAGCTAAACTACCTAGCTAAAATCTATAATACAAAGCAGTACAAAGATTGGATTCGACAACGATATATTCGTTATGAATATAATATATTATATTATTATTATTATTATTATTATTCATTATTCATTATTGTAAAGTACGACCGAAATAATAGTAAAAGCGAAGTGCAACAGAAATGATTGTACAACTGTGACGAGTGTCACTTTTAAAGGTTTGAACAATTCAAATTCATTACTAAATATTAATACAATAAAACTTTAAAATTTGTGCACGTTATACTGCAGAAACGATTACCACTCGAGCGTAGTCTGCAGGTCACAGGCAAAAATGCATGCAATCAGTGATTCAGGCGGCTAGTAAATCTCAGTGATATAATTAAGTATATCCGTTATAGTATATTAGTATGATGCACGTCAGTGTGAGTGTAAGTTTCGAAATTTACTTTTCCGTTCCAATACTCGTGGCCATGTTATTCATGAGCTTAAACAACACCAACAGCACGTATAGTTGGTAGCACGACAACAGTATGATCAAGTCTATGTTGTAGTGAGAATTGAATTTTTTGCAAAAAGTGTACAACACGAGATTCCTTTTTCGAGATTGACGTATCCGTTCCAAGTCGTCGATTAGGCCCGACTCGACGTAGTCGTTTAAATCGCTGTACAACCGACCAATCACGTGGAACGTGTGAATAAGTTGCATTTCGAAGCCCAAAAACGCATATGTAGTAATGTTGTCCAAGTTCATGGGCTTGTTTTTCATGCGTCTATATTTGTAAAACATTTCGACTACTATGAATAATATTATTACATGGGTAATGACTAATGTGTATATTGAATACACATATTATATATTATATAAATATATAATATAATATGATATGCAATGTATATAATATCTGCAATGGATCCGCGGATTCCAATCATTATCCCCTCGGAATACTGCAGGATACTTCCCACTACCATGGTGATGAGTGATGACTTCCTTGTTTTTCTTTTTGGGAAAAATCATCATAATAAAACAAAATACCTAAGTCCATTTACATGCGAATTAACTGCATATTATAGTTTATATTTTTCTTGGCATGGTGTGCTCCCAGGAATTGGAAAGCGAGTTGGGGTTATAGTTGCGCAATGAGACATGCTTCGCCGTTCGTATTATCTTTGTTTTAGTACCTATCAATAATACTGTCATTATGCTTGATTTTTTTTTCAACGTCTCCCCGACCTTAAGACTCATACCTAGGCACAGTTATAGGAAATAAGTACAGTGTACCTTTGTGTCTCATCTCTCATCTGCGACGCCATGTCATCATTGATGAAATGCATTAAAAACATATACGTAGAATGCTACTCAATATTTTCTACTTTGAAGGAAATGTATGAATCATAAATATGTATTAATGAGTAACCAATAATTGTATCTATATATACCTAAAGAGAGTTAGTTACATTTTACATTTTATTTGTTTCTACTTTCTAGGTATGGGGATATAAAGCGTTTCTTAAAATCGGTTAGAAAATAAATCTTTAGATATCTGTACCGAGCCCAAAAATATATTTGTGTTAAAAATATCACAATAAATTATTAAAAATATAATATATAAATGTAACCATAACTACAGTACCTACTACCTATGCCACCATGACAAATTTAGTTAGGTATGTTAATAACACTATACGAATTTATCCCTAGTAGACAGACCAACAATTCGAAGTCTTCAGACTGTAACTGCAATTTTTCGAAGTCTCTCAATTGTATACCACTGATGAACCATTTGAGATGGATATAATAATCTATATACATTATATTATATTATCAAAACGACAAAGCGAATGTATGCCTGTTAGTTTGTCCTTTATGCATTCCTACACTATTCATCCGATCGCCATAAAACTTTCGTGGCGGGCTTTAAGCACCCCAAGAAAGGTTTCTAAACTATTGCGAACTAAATCAGATGAAACCTACCTACTTATGATTCATATATAGGTACATTTTTTCGAAGTGGAAAATAATGAGTAGCTGTGTTACGTTTGTCGATACACCAATTTTTTTATGTTTTAAACATCATAACACCAAAATACCTTATATTAAGTAACGAATTGAACAAAGTTTGAAATGTCTGAGTCATATAGAGCTACGGGCAACGATGTGCCGAGTTCAGTACTTCAATGCCTAGTTGACTTATAAAAACACCAAGGTCATGATGTTGCGACCGATTTCGAATAATATTAAAACTATATAATATTATTACGAGTAGGTATATAGGTAAGACAACTTGGAAAATATATTTTTGAAAAGAAATTATGAATGTTCCGATCCGTTCCGAAGTGAAAGTTCAGATCCGATCCGAACTAATATCAATGAATAATGAATATAATATTAAGTCATACACTTGTTGCTTATACCTACCCCGTACCAACCAACCCATCCTTCATAACCAATACCATATCAACCATGGTCCATAATCCCTACAATAGCTAATATAAGTCAGTTGCCGGGCTAAAGTTAAAAAAAAAAAAATTAATAACAATAAAAGTACGAATTTCGGTTAAAATGTATGCTATCGATATTTTTTCGACTGTCCAGGGCATCTATATGGTTACCTATCCAAAAATTTAAAATAGTGACCATTACCTACCTACCTATCGATGTTATCTCCGACGAATTCAATTAGTACTGCCACTGTGCTGGCGTACAGAATTACAATTGACGATTTTCGTACCGGCATTTCCACTGGCCATTCGGACAAGCTGTTGTAACATCTAACTGTGTCCCTCACAAACGCCATTCTTCTCAGTAACATGCACAGCAATCCAAGCCCGTTTGTGCTCAACACGATAGACGTGACTGCCGACGTTTTCTTTATAGCGCCGAAAAATAGCATCGTCAAATGCGTGTGTATTTGTAGCCCGACAATCGCGACATGTAAGAAAGTGAACAACAGTCCGAATTTTGACATTGAGAACGACCTATTATTTGTATCGTATACAATAGGAAATGCACCAAACCAATTGCACACCAAAAATGCAGAACTATAAAATAAAAATTGTTTAATTAGGAACTATACTATAAGGTATAAAATGGGAATTGTAGGTTTTGTCTATATATCTAATATAGACTATAAGTGATGCTGTGAACTTTTCAAATTTAAATTAGGTAGATACAACACTCAACTTTAAGTTCATTTCTGTGGTCGGAAACAAAACAGGCGATTTATATGTAAGTATGGTTTATTTCAATGTTTCGAAAAACATTAATACTGCTACGTTGAACATAAAATTGGTAATAACTAATGGAGGCATTTTCATGACTACAATATACAGGTACATTATGAATAATTTAACAGTTAAAAAGTAATCTATTCATGAATGGTAACTATTGTCTGTTGGACACATACATTTCTTATAACTACTAAAAATACAATTCACTCACACACACACACAAAACAAATACATAGGTATAAATTAAGTACTCTTGACTAAAATAAAATAAACAATGTAAATTAATTTCTAGGTTCAAGGGTTTATAATATTATCAAGTAAATTTTTACTAAAATAATTCATTAATGACTAAAGAGTATGTTATATGCTATACATCATGATAATGATGATAAATATATACAACAGTACTTTATAATAATGAAACTACATTAATAATGCTTTTATCATGACAACATAATAAAAAATAACCACACCTCAATACCATAAGAAATTAAACATTTAAATTGAACAGTCTTTTAATTTTTACCCTTATCATAGTTACAAATCCCACATAATGGCTGTAATATACAGAATGTGCTACTTATCAAAAGGATTCAATAAATATTATTTCAACTTTACAAATACATACATTAATAAATAAAAAAAATCAGTTCAATTGATTTCCATTCAAGGCTGGCACACTAAGTGTTTTACAACAAAAGTATGTTTGTTTTAAACAATTTAAACATGCTACAGCCCTGAACTTTATAAATACAATTTTCATTACATATACGATATACTAAGTAATTTAGTGGACTAGAACATTTTAGAGTATAGAACAACACACAAAAATATATAAATGTAGCATTACCTAACGGTCTAATACAAGCAAAACATTCAATGTTTCTAACATATCATAGCTTGATACAATTAACTATACTTGAGTGAATATACAGCTATTCAATAACAAATATTTTACTTAGGTAAGCATAAACACAATACAATAAAAAAAAAATAATAGTAAATTTGAACAATAAAAATAATTTATCTATCTTGTAATGTGCTTCACAAATGTAAAATTGTAATCTTAATTTTGATTATAAAATATTAAAAATACAATCATCTTATTGATTTAAAATATTTGAATAATTGAATTTTTAACAAACTATAATTTGAAGAAATGATCAAATTCTTTGCTTCAATGATCTTAAAAAAATAATAACATGTATATAATAATAAAATACTTATTGATTTAAACTAGGGCTAGGATTTATATGCATTATGTCAAAATCCTAACAATTTGATCAGTTATATCCACAAATCAATTCATATTGATACACATAATCTATTTTTACTTTGCATAATTCAAGTGTTACGTAAATTATTACATATTTCAAACATAAATTATTTATTAATTATTGTTTATTTAAAAGAAAGTGGTGTAAAAGGCCATGATCACATCATATTATTAATTTTATAAAATCATTGATATTGTATTTTCCAAAAGGAAAACAAAAACATGTATAAATGCTGTGTGATAAAAATAATTTAGACTACATAAAAAGTAACTTTATTTAATTTGCCATGAAATTATAAGATAATTACTTCACTGTATGAGTTTAGAAAGTATTGGTAAATTCATTGTATATCTTCATATATTATTATAGAATATTTTATTGTAATTTAACCAAATGGAATGCATATCTTACTATTGTATATTGAATATAAATCCTAGCTCGAGTCAAAACTATCTGAAGAAATTTATCATATATTGGCAATATATTTTCATATCTAGATTACCAAAATATGTAAAAAAGTCAAGTTAAATTTTAATTAGAATAAAAATACATTGCTTCAATAAATTAACAATATTTTATGTAAATTGTTCAATGTTAATTTATACAATAAAAAAACTTAGTTCATATATGTATAAATCAAATTTTTAATCAATAAATAAAGTGTGACTAGGTTTTTTTTAAATCTAAACACAAATATAAATACATTATAAAAACTATACATACCTCGTTCAAAAATTTTTAAGATTAAATTTTAATACAATTTGATATAAAAAATTGGGTATTAACAAAAAACAATAACTACACAACATAAATTCAAATTTTTTTTAAATTTGTTCATATGAATCTAATTTAATAATGAACTTTTTTTTTGTTAAGTTGAATAATTTTACATTTTGCCAAAAGTGCAATTAAAAATTTACAAATGAAAAATTTAAATAAATTTAATAATTAAATAACAGAATTGAAAACATAAAATTGTTGTTTAAATTTTTTTTTCATTCATTTTAAAGAATGGATGCTTCAATGCAATATCTGCAGTTATTCGAGTCACTGGATTCAAACATAACAATTTTTTTAAGAGATCATATGCAGGATAAGGAAAATCATCAGCAACATTTAAGTAACAGCTACAACTATCAGAAAAAACTTCACAGCCAGATAGTTGTATTGGTTTCATACAAAAATTACAGGTGTCCAAACCATCACTTGAAGAAACAGCCGTTGGATTTAAGGTCTGTACACTTGATCGATGGCATAAAAGGCGACAAATTGCCCGAAGATCAAGAGGAGGTTTTTGAACTTCGCAAATAACATTGCGACCTGATGTAAAAATAAATGATAAGATAATTAGAAATAAATAATACATAATATACATTATAAATATCAACACTAACCTAACATTTTGGCTAAATTTTTAATAGCCCTATCCCCAAAAACGGTTATCATTTCAGCTAAACATGTAGAATCATTCTCTGCACTAAAGAAAGGGTAACAGCGACTCATAGCTTCCAACATAATGACTCCAACTGACCAGATATCAAGAGCTATAAACATATCAGTGTTAAAAAAATATTTTATATCCTATACACAAAAGTATACAACACATTTAGTGGATTAAAAATTGTTTATATAGACTTTATCTTTACCACTTACCAGTATTTTGATATTTGTATTTTAAAAGGACTTCAGGAGCACGAAAACCCGGTGTTCCTGCTCGAGGAGCTTTCATTTCTGGTCTTTTTATACAAATATTGCAAACTTTTAATTTTCCTACACAATCACATGTGAGACGTTGCACTTTAGGAACAGCAAAACTATTTTTCTCCTATTTATTAAAACACAATACATGAATTCAACAAAAAAATTACTCTTAAGAGTTATCTGAGTTGGAAATATACTAACATGGAATAAACTATTCATGGCCATTTGATTACTAGGATTATTATTCTTAGGAACATCTAATTGTTTTTTTATGGGTGAATTCTCCTTTAGTAATGGTTCTTTAGGCATCATTAGTTTAGTTCTTTTTCTTAAATTACATCCATGAGGTAAAGAGTTAGTGTCATCTGCTATGTTTTGAAGGATACGTTTTTGATATGAACTTAATCGTATATTTCCTACTGAATTAGATCTTTTGTGGTTAACCTAAGAACATTTTTAAAAAAATATTAGTTTTAAATAACATTGTAGTTAATAGGTAAATAATGAATACAAATATAAAAAAAATGCCTTACATTGAGACCACAGCTTGAACTTTTTTGTTTGTAAGAGGACGTATCAGACTTATTATCAGGCAGACTTTTTATTTCCATACGTCTAGTAGGATTAATGTTAGGATGAGCAAGTCCAAAATCAGTGAGCATGAAACTAGAAGATTTAGTCACAATCAATAAAATGCAAAGTTGTAAAAAAAAAAAATGTTATTACTCACGTTGAAGTTGAACGGTTATACAAAAAATTGCTAGGTTTCACATCTCTGTGAACAATATTGAAAGAATGTATTCTCTTTAATGCAATTAACAGGTTTTTAATGTATAATCGCATTTCATTAGCATCCATTGTGCATAGATAAGTCTGAAAAACCACAAATATTTAATTACACATAAATAAGGTATGGAAATTTGAACTATTTTTAGGATTTGTTTAATTTTATTTATACATAAATACATGCATAGGTACCTATATAATCTATAAAACTAATTAATTACCAATGGATGGTCGTGCTTGATATAAGGCATTACCAAGCAAACAGAACTTCCAATTCGTAATGAGGTTACTAATCCCATTACATTATCTTGTCCCCTAAAAATAAATTTAAAACTTATTAATTGTATAAACTTATAAAAATATATAGGTATTATGATTAATACAAAATCAAAAAACATTTATTTTTGTCTATAGTTGAATTTAAAATTAAAATTAATGTGTATGGCCAATGACGAGATAGATTTTAATTTAACTATCTTAATCAGGTCATATGAATATGATTAGCATAATATCAAATTGAAAATCATAACTCCGATGGAGGTGGTATACTGTGATGGAACCGTCCTTGTTATGTCACTAATCCACTAGTCACAACTAACAATAAGTATCCACCTTCAAATAAGTAGGTATAACAGACTGTATAAGTACAAAAATATACACTCTTTTCTCTTACCCGATCTTCAGTAGACAAAAAATTTCGCGGCGTAACTTCTCCGGGTGTGTCGTTTGTTTGATGTGCTTGATAGCAAACCGTTTCTTCTCAGCGTCACCTCTCGCGTAGGCTAAATACACCTTGCTGAACGTGCCGGCACCGATTTTGCTTTGGATGACAAATGTCTCTCGTAACTTCCTGAATGACTCGTCCTTCATCGGGATCTCTGCAAACACGTCGAAAGTTA